AACTGCAAAACAGATCTGGTTCCTAACAGGAAAGAGAGACAGAAAGGAAAGAAGGGGAGGGAGGGAGAGAAGGACAAGAAGTAACTATAGAGGAGGCTGAGGAAGAAGGATTGCTTGAGCCCAAGGACTGAAGGATAATCTAGGTAACAATGTGAGGTACTTCCCCTTCCCCCGCCCCTTTTGGTGGTGTGAGGGTTTGAACTCAGAACCTGGCACTTGAGCCATATCTCCAGTCTTTTCTACTTGAGTTCTTTTTCAAAGTCTTGCCCTGATGTCCAGGCTGGTATGAACTAGCTGGTTAGCTAGGATGACAGGTGTAAACCATCATGCCCAGGTTTTATTGAGCTAGATGGATGCCTTACCAAGTTGTTGCCTAGGCCGGCCTTGAATCTGAATCCTCTGATCTCTACTTCCTGAGTAGTCATGATTACAGGCATGAGCCATTGCATTCAGCCAAAGCCTCATTTCTTTTAAAACTATTTTTGTTATTATAAAGGTGATGGATAGAAGTGTCACAGTTACTTAAGCCAGGTACGAAGTATATTTCTTTTTGGACAATGTTACCCCTTCCCTCACACTCTTCTTTTCCATTCCCACTCACAAGTTGTATGGTTCATTTTCAACATAGTGTCTAGTGAGTACCGCTGCTACGTTTGTTTACCCTTTGTCCCTCCATTTCTATGTAAGGCCTCATTTTTTTTTTTTTTTTGGCCAGTCCTGGGCTTGAACTCAGGGCCTGGGCTGTGAGCCCAAGCTTTTGCACAAGGCTAGCGCTCTACCACTTAAGCTACAGTGCCACTTCTAGCTTTTTCTGTTTATGGGGTATTGAGGAATTGAACCCAGGGCTTTATGCATGCTAAGCAAAGCACTCTACCACTAAACCACATTCCTAGCCCAAGGCCTCATTTCTTTAAAGAGATTTGAACATTGGACTTTTTTTTTTTTTCTAGTTTTTTTCTTTTTGTTTTTGTGTTTTGTCAGTCCTTGGGCTTGAACTCTGGGCCTATGCGCTGTCCCTCAGCTCTTCAGCTCGAAGTGAGTGTTCTACCACTTGACCTACCAGGCCATTTCCCATTTTCTGGTGGTTTATTGGATATAGGAGTCTGACAGACTTTCCTGCCTGGGCTGGCTTTGAACCGTGATCCTCAGATATCAGCCTCCTGAATAGCTAGGATTACAGGCATGAGCCACTGGCACCCAGCTCTAGTTTTAAATATAGAAGGCTTCAAGAACTTGCATGTTCTCCTTGCGCAGGAGGCACATTGGTCTTCTCTGTCTGGTTCCAGTGTCAGTCAACATGTAGTTGATGTAAACACTGAACACTGGAAGTTTGATATTAAAGCGTTAGTGGTGATGTTAATTGATTATGTTTTGTGGTTTATGTTCTTAGGAGCCACTGACTCATTGACTCCAGGGCCCCTTCCTCTCCCCTCTATCTCTGAGGAAGGCAGAGATGCCAAGGTTATTCCAGGACACACACCTGCCTGAGAGCCCTGCTGGATGCTGACTCTGGAATTTGGTGGCTCTCCTAGGAGAGATAGGATGGTCAGGTGAGGAGATAGAGAGAAAGGGTGGGTGAGGGGATGTGGAGAGGAAGGAGACAGAGAAGGGAGGGGCCAACTGGCTCACTGGAGTCCAGGGCCACTGTGACATTGTAAGATGAAATTAAATGGGAACGGTATAGATCAAACTAGTTTGTCCAGGGGTTGATAATTGTGGAAGTTGGGCAGTGGATACATAGGAAGGAGCTCATTATTTCCATCTGTATGTTTTCCAAAAGCTCCAAAGTTGTGTTTTTGATTTTTTTTTTTTTTGTTTTCTTTTTTGGTGCCATTACTGGGGCTTGAACTCAGGGCCACACTTTGTCTTAGCTTTTTTTCTAAGACTGGTGCTCTATATCTCTCAAGCCACAGCTCCACTTCCAGCTTTTTGGTGGTTAACTGGAGATAAGAGTCTCAGGGACTTTCCTGCCTAGGCTGGCTTCAAGCTGCCAGATCCTCAGATGCCAGCCTCCTGAGTAGCTAGGATTATAGGCGTGAACTCAAGGTGGTAGCCCACACAGCTCCCAAGTAGGGAGATCCTTTGGTGACCTAGGAGCCTGTGGCTACCTTTTGGGGACTCCAGCTGCCTCCTGGGACAACCCTTGGCTCTCCTGATAGGGATGGTGTTGGGGAGGATCAGAGGGGAAGTGATTGCTGACTTTCTGTAGAGGGAGGGATGGTCTTTGTTGGCCTGGTAACACTGGATGCCCAAATGCTGCCTGGTTAGGGCTGAGAGTATGAGTGGGTGGCTCCAAAAATAGCAGAGGAGGCAGCTGAGGGACAAAGGGAGTCACATGAACAAGCTCCGGGGCTGGGCTGGGGCAGCTGCCGCTGGGACATCAACTCTCCTGTCTCCAGAGCCTCTTCCTGGCCTCTGTCTCTGAGAAGGTAGAGAGATGCTAAGATTTTTCCAGGACACACACCTGTCGGAGAGCCTGTCTGAGACAGGAAGGGACAAGGACTACAAAACCTGCCATCTGTCACCCCACAGCCCAAACGTGCAGGCCCATAGCCTCAAGCACTTAGGCCTGACTTATATCAGGTGGTAGATGTCCTTGCTGGGGAAGTTGGTTGTGGGATGGGATGGGTGAGGTGCAGCAAGGACTGGAATGGCTGTCTGGAATACTGGTTGCTATGGTGGCACTGCTGACTTCTCTGGGCACACGGAACGACGGCCCCTGTCCCTGTTCTGAATGGGAGGTCCTGGGAGAGAAGAGCACTAGTCTCCGGCACACCTGGACAAATACACCAGTGGTTGTCATTGGGGTCAATGCCTTCCATTCACAGGCAGTCAGCAGCAGCACGGTTATACCCCATTTCAACCCTCTGTGAAATGGGGACAAAAGTAATACTTGCCTCATGAAACAGCCGTGGGGGTGGAGTGGGTTAATCTACATAAATAAATGAGCCCTTGAGCCCAGCAGCAGGCTGGACAGCTGTCCCTGCTCACTAGCAGACATGGGCGGGGTTTGCACATCTCTGCATCTTTAGCACCTGGAACCAGGTAGGAGTTCTGCACACAACATCATCAGTTGATGATCAAGGCCTGGAAAAGGCAGCACTGTCCACATAGCTGGTGGTGGTGGTGGAAACAGAGGCCTACAGAGACCAAGTGACTCACTCCAGGCCACGCCTCCAGGAAGCTTCAGAGTGGGGGGTTTGTGTTGGGCCTGCAAGCCTCCCAGCCTGTGCTGTTGCCCCCAGCAGGGAGAGCCAGGGAGGGCAGCACTCCATTCACCTACCCTCACCTGGCCAGCCCCATCAGGGCTGCCTCCGCCTAGATCTACCCAGGGGGATGCTTGGCTGAGGCTCAAACTGGGGGAACAGCTACCTCCATTTGTTAAGGAAGCAGTCACCCAGCCCTCTCCACCTAATAGGTGCTGGGCTGGGTGCCCAGATGCAGAGATAGGAAGGTAGGAAGATCCTAGTCTCTGAGGAGCTCAGAGCATGCCTACCACTGCTGTTGTGAGGCTGGGTTGGCTCAGGGTTGTGTGCAGAGGCTACAACATACCTGGCAGACCCAGGAGGAAAGGGAGTAGAAAGGGTTTGGAGAGACAGACCTGGGAAGACTTGTGAAGGGGTTGTTTTTTGCTTTCCTGCAGGCAGAGCAGGAAAATGGGGACCAGGCAGGAAGAGAACTCCAGGCAGAGGGAACACAATTCTTTAAAAGAAAGCATAACAAGCAGGGGAAGCCTAGGAATGGTGTGTGTGTGTGTGTGTGTGTGTGTGTGTGTGTGTGTGTGTGTGTGTGTGTGTGTGTGTGTGTGTGTGGTGGGAGGATATATAAGGGAGTACTAAAGATAGGAGGAGTAGCCCATCAAGGGGCTGGGAATGTGGCTTAGTGGTAGAGCGCTTGCCTAGCATGCATGAAGCCCTGGGTTTGATTCTTCAGTACCACATAAACAGAAAAAGCTGGAAGTGGCGCTGTGGCTCAAGTGGAAGAACGCTAGCCTTGAGCAAAAAGAAGCTCAGGGACAGTGCCCAGGCCGAGTTCAAGCCCCAGGACTGGCAAAAACTAAAAACAAAAAACAGAAAGCCATCAACTGAGGATGAACTGGGAACTTACAGGAAGTGGGAGACCTTAGGATTTTAGGGCTGGTCCAGGGAGGTTAATCATTAGGAAAATGTTCTCTGCACCAGAGAATGGCAGTACACACCTATAATCCCAGCTCTTGGGAGGTTAAGGCTTGTGAGCTGGAAGCCAGCCTGGGCTGGGCTATATAGTAAGACCCTGTCTTACACACACACACACACACACACACACACACACACTGTATGAGAACAGTGCTACCCCAGATTCAGTGCCTTTGGGGGAGGGGAAGGGAGAGGGCCCTGCTGGCCAAGGCTGGGCCCCAGCTGCTCTGGGACACCTCCCCCTCCTGTCCCTCCCTCCTTCCTCCCTGCTCCTGTCTCTGTCACTCACCAAGGCCAGCAGGGCTGGACAGCCATGGCAGCAGCACTTATGTGGATTCCTCTGCTTGTGGGCAAGTTGGGGGTCTTCTTTAGGGAGCTGTCAGGACGGAGAGAGTTGAGGGAAGATGAGGTGGAAGAATGGGTGGGAAGAATGTGGGGTGAGGTAGGGCCTGAAGTCTTTGGGGGTGGTCAATGTCCAGGCAGCCAAGGATTCAGGGACTGGGCACTAGGTTCTGGGGTGTGGAGGTTGGGAGCCCTGAGGGTGTATATATCTTAGGGCTGGGGTGGGCTGGACTGCACAGGCCTAGAGGGTCCTGTGCCCGGGCTCTTTAATGGGCCGGCTTGGACACTGCTTCTATGAGGCCTGGGCTAAATCTGGACTTGAGGGGGAGGAGGAGGGAGCTGGGCAAGTCCTTGTTACTCCATTCCTGGGCAGGCCTGGTTCCGCTGCTCCATAGATCAAGGAAGGCAGATGTGTGGGAGATTGGGGTTCTTCCAGACTTTTTAGGATCACAGGGCACTTAGTATACAATGGTGCTTACCCAGAACTGAGGCTGCCTATGTGTTTGGACCTTGTGGGGTCCCTCTAGGTTTCTTGGCAGGATTAGGGGGTGCTGAGGCCCAGCAGACCACTCTACACCCACTTGTGGGCCGTTTCTTTGTGCATACCTTGGACCCTGCCACCTTCCTGCGCCTTCCGGAGCACGTTGGTGAGGGGCCCGAGGGACCGGCGGGTGTCAGGGGAGGGGGGGGCGCATGCTTTGTCCTTTCAGATGCCAATCCCATCTTCTGTCTTCACCAGCCGTCCCACCCACCGTGCGAATCACCTACCATGCCCACCTCCAGGGACATCCTGACCTGCCCCGTTGGCTCCGCTACACCCAGCGCAGCCCCTACAATCCTGGCTTCCTCTACGGCACCGCCACCCCAGAAGATCGGGGGCACCAAGTCATAGAGGTGCCGGCAGGGACCCTCGGAGACCCCCAGAGGGCTGGTCACTGTGGCCTCCTCATAGCAGGCCTGTTAGGGGCACTGGGTGCTCCTGCACGTTCACTGGGCATTCATTTACATGTAATTTGCATATCCCTGCTTTACCAAGGGTGCTTTCTGTCAGAGCCCCCCTGCTACTCCTTCCCCCCTTTCTCCTCCCCCCCCCCCCACTTAAGAGCTTTCCCTTAATCCCACTGCTGTACGCTCTTCCCACATCCCCCCAGGTCACAGCCTATAATCGGGACAGCTTCGACACCACTAGGCAGAGGCTGGTGCTGATAATTGGTGACCCAGAAGGTACCCCCAATCCTGCTCCCCCCTTCTCCATCAGTGCTAGTCCCTTGGAAGGGAGAGGCTTGGGGAGCAGCGGGACATGACATTGGTGGTTTTTAGGGAACAAGCCCTGGACTGGGGCTCGTGTCTGGCTGGGTTTCTGTCTCTGTACCAACTGAAATAGGGACCTGGGCAAGTCACCAAGGGTGCTGCACGTGTTGGGGAAAAGCATTTGGGGCCTGTGGTGTATCTGTATGTGGTATTGGGGGACTTGGAGAAGAAGAGCTTGGGGAAGGCTAAGGAAAGATCTAGAGGGCAGAGAGGGGACCTGGTGCAGCCAAGTGTCTCCCTGGCCCTTCAGGCCCCCGGCTCCCCTACCACGCGGAGTTCCTGGTGCGCAGCCATGACGTGGAGGAGGTGCTGCCCTCCACACCTGCCAACCGCTTCCTCACAGCCCTGGGTGGGCTCTGGGAGCCAGGGCAGCTCCAGCTGCTCAACGTCACTTCAGCCCTGGACCGTGGGGGCCGGGTCCCTCTTCCTATCGAGGGCCGTAAGGGAGGGTAAGTGGCAACCCCGGGAGGTGGGCATAAGACAGGGGTTCCCCTAATTACAGCTGGGATTCCTCATCCTTGCCCACCCCTGTCTGTTCCTGTCACTTCCATTCAGTATTGTGAATTCAGTATTTCCTAGTCCCCCCAAGAAGGAAGTCCTAGGGCCTAAAGAATGGGGTATTGGGCAAGGCACTGGTGGCTCATACCTGGAATCCTAGCTGCTTAGGAGGCTGAGATCTGAGGATCATGGGTCAAAGCCAGCTGGAACAGGAAAGAAAATTAAGAGATAAGAGTGGTAGAGTACCAGCCTTGAGCAAAAAACAAACAAAAAAACCTACTAAGGGGCAGCACTCAGGCCCTGAGTTCAAGCCCCAGCACTGGGACACATACAATGCACAAAAAATGGAGGGATCTGGGTGGCCTCAGATCTTGGGGGAAGGAGTTTATCGCATGCCTCCCGAGCCCCATCTCCAAGCTGCCTTTCCTACCCTACCGTTAGCCCCATCTCCAAGCTGCCTTTCCTACCCTACCGTTAGCACACGCCAACACCATGGTGCCTGGTATTCTCCCTCCCCCCACTCTGCTGACAGTGGCTTCTTTGTGCCCAGGGTGTACATCAAGGTGGGCTCTGCCTCACCCTTCTCTACCTGCCTGAAGATGGTGGCGTCCCCCGATAGCCAGGCCCGCTGTGCCCAGGGCCAGCCTCCACTTCTGTCTTGCTATGACACCTTAGCACCCTACTTCCGCGTTGACTGGTGCAACGTGTCCCTGGTGAGGAGGGACCCGGGCTCCAGGGCTGAGGGTGGGTCATGTCCCCACGATGACCCCTGTACTGCTTCCCACTCTACTCGATCTCTCCCTCTGATGATCAGTCAGGGTCTCAGCATTAGTATTGAGGTACTGGCTCTTTCTCTCTCTTTCCTCTTCTCTTTCTGCCCTCTCTCCTCTCTCCCCTCTCCTGTCTCCCATTTTCCTGTCTGTCTCCCTCTCCTTACTCTCCTTTCCTCCCTTTTCCCTCCACCCCTCTCCAATCCTCTGTCTGCCCCCCCCCCCCCCCACAGAGGGGGCTGGGGAGAGGGGGGGTTGAGGAGGAAAGAGAGAAATTCTACTTTCTACCACAAGAGGTCGACAGAGTCTACAGTCCACAGGCAGGGCCTCCAGCCCTGGCTGTGTTGCCCAGCCCCATAGCTACAACCACCATCAGTCCCCACAGGTTGGTTTCCAGACTTCCCTCATGGAAGGCCGCCAGATTCTTCCTAGTAAACCTGTCTGTAACAAGGAGCGGATAGCTTTCCAAACTATAAACTCAAGAGGCCCATCACAGCTCTTGGGGATGCTGATCCCCAATCCCACACTAGGAGTGCTCTGCTTTGGGGAGATTGGCCCAGGAGTGGGGGGTGGGGTGGGGCAGGGACACTCAAGAGCTGCAGAGTCAGGGCCAGTCCCGATACCTGCCACGCTCTGGGCACTGTGTCCGCTGCACTTTTCATTCTCACAGTCACTACAGGAAGCAGGTACACCATGATCACGCTGAAACAGGCATGGAGAGGCACACCACTCCCAGGGAAGCACAAGGCTGAAGAACAGGACCTAACCATTGTATTATCTTGTCTGTCCTGGCTCCTTGTCCCGTGTTTTTCCTGCAAGGTCATCTAGGCTAGGGGAGGCAAGCAGGAGAAAACCCTGTGGCTGTGTCCCCTGGAAACTGTCCCCTGTCCCCTAGGGGACTCTGGGTCAGCCCTGGCTTTCTGTGTAGGTAGATACATCAGTACCAGAGCCCCCAGAGGAGGTGCCCACCCTAGGCGACGGGATCTTGGAGTATGACCCATTCTTCTGCCCACCCACGGAGGCCACAGATCGAGACTTTCTGACAGATGCCCTGGTCACCCTCCTGGTGCCTCTGCTGGTGGCCCTGCTGCTCACTTTGCTGCTGGCCTACATCATGTGCTGCCGGCGTGAAGGACGGTGAGGCGGGGGCAGAGGGCAGGGGACAGAGGGCAGGGGACACCAGCTGGTTCTCATTCCCAGGGACCCAGGGCCCTCAGGGAGTGGGGTTCCCAGAAGGGGAATGTAGGGTACTTTAGGCAGCCAGGGGACATTGGTGGGGGACCAATTCTCATCCTTGCTTTTTTCACAGGCTAAAGAGAGACCAGGCCACCTCTGAGTGAGTATGGAAAGGCTGGGGGTTGGGTGGGAGCCCCCCTAGACTGTCACATTGGACCCTCCAACCTCCATAAGCTACAGAGACAAGCTGCTTTCCTTTGGGAGATGGGGGTGCATGACCTCCCCGGCCTCCTGGGCAGGCTGAAGGCTGGGCCCGGGGCTGTGCTCGGAGTCATCATAAAGAGTCTTTTGTGAGCCCAGTGCTGATGCTGGCTGCTCACACCTGTAATCTAGCTACTCAGGAGGCTGAGACTTCAGAAAAAAAAAAAAAAGGTCCAAAAGGTCCCTTGTGCCATAGGTGGGTGGTGGGTCTTGAACAGAGTTAAGTAGCTGGGCACTGGCAGCCACTGGTGGCTCACACCTATAATCATAGCTACTCAGGCTGATCTGAGGATCGTGGTTCAAAGCCAGCCTGGGCAAGAAAACCTTTCCAAATCCATTTTTTTTATCCCAGCGTCCCCTACCTACCTATGGCTTTCTCCCTTCTCTGTACCCCCCCCACATCCCTCTTCCTCCCCCACACCCTGAACCCCCCAAAGATTCCAGGAGGCAGTTGTGATATAAGTCGGGCTCCTTTTATTCTCACTGCACACAGCCCGCAGCAGGTGTGGTGTGCCTGCCTCTCTGCCTGGCCTGCCTTGTTAAGTGCGGCGGCCCTTGGTTGCCCGGCGGACTCCCTTGAAAAGCTGCTTTTGGCCCTGTTTGGAGCCCACTCTTGACCTGTGCTGTCCGGAACGGCGGTGCCCAGAGCGACGCTGCCCAGACCTTCGCTGCTGGCGTCTCTTGGCCCTGATCTTCTTGGCCTGCTTCTTGCCCAGGCTGAAGGAGCCTGAGTAGCCTCTGCCAGACACCTGCTTGATCATGCCACTGTCCAGCAGCTTCTGGATCACGCACTTGAAACGCCAGGAGTTGCGAGTCATGTTGTAGCCTGTGCCTGCCACAGCCTTCTTCAGGGCGGCCAGGGACACGCGGTTGCGTAGCCCCTTGTCTGCCACAGCCCTCAGGATCACCTTCGACATGCTGGGCCTCTGATGGGCTTTGGGGAAGGTGTGAGGCCCAGGCTCACTCTTGCTAGGGGTCCCTGATGCGCTGGCCTGCCAGTTTCCACCCATGGCAGTGTTTGTGGCCGAGGGCGCCGGTGGAGCCACTGGAGAAGTGTCTTTCTGCATCTCTCCCGGGGGAAGCGGCGGGGAGTTGGGTGTCAGAACCTCCAGGGTGGTGGCTGTAAAATCTCCACTGGGTCAGTCTCGGTGGTCAGCAAGCTGTGTCCCGGCTCCCGTTGCCCTCAGAGGCTTCTTGTAAGGCTCTGGCCCACACCTCCCCTGGGTGGCCAGAGGGGCGACCGAGGATGATCACCCACTGCTGGCTTCAGCAGACTCCTGCCGTGGGCTTGGGGGGAGGCGAAGTTATCTCTGCAGTGACCTCAGGGGGCCATTGTGAGGCCACCAGAATCCTGCAAGGGTCACAGGGACCCCATTGTGCCCTCTCCTGGGAGGGGCAGACAGGAAGTAGCGGTGTGGACACCTGCTGTACCAGGTGCCCTGCAGAGAAGAGCCAGATTGGTGGGCACTTGGGTGTGCGTGCATGCACATGGCATAGCCTTGGCCCTCAGTTTTAAACCCATCGTTTGGCCCTACTATCTGGCTCTTTGTGTCTCTGGGTTACAGAATATTTTAGCCTAGCCTGTAATCCTAGCTACTTAGGAGGCTGAGATCTGGAAGACAATCATGGCCTGAATCCAGCCTAGGCAGAAATAAACAATCCATGGGACTCTATCTCCAATTAACCATCAAAAGGCTGGGCTAGAGGTGTGGCTCAAATGGTAGAGTGCCAGCTGAGCTTTCTCTCTAGAACCTGAGTTCAAGCTCTTGGACCAGAAAAATGCTCCCAAAGCATTTTAAACACCAACATGATTTTCATGAGGAATATGCTTTCCAGAGTAAACAAATAAAATTCCTTGATTTATGTAAGTCTGTCAACTTTCTAGGCAATAGTAAAAAGGGATCAGGGACGTAACTCAATGGTATAAACACCACAAAACTAAAAAAAAAAAAATCCCAAACCACAAAGCTATTTTTTTTAAATTTTACTTTCATAGACTTCATTTTTATTTTATTTTTAGAGTTCACCTCCATCACAGTCAATGCCTTTTCCTGTTAATTGCATTTTATTATTTTTGGTGGATTTTATTATTTTTGGAGGGGGTGGAGCGTGGAGCCATGCCAAATTGGTTATATCTACTGTCATTGTGAATTTTGTCTATATTTTAACAAGTATTTTCCCCACTTTGAGATCTACTGGGTCAATTTTTTTTATTTTTTTTTTGTTCCTCTTGTCAGGAAAATCTGCTTCTGCCATCCAACTGAATTTAAATAACCATTTTTTCCATCTGTCTTCATTGGTTTGGCTTTTCAGTTTTTTAATTCTTATTATTTTTGGTGCCAGTCTTAGAGCTTGAACTCAGGGCCTTAGTGCTGTCCCTGAGCTTTTTTGGTCAGGACTAGAACTCTATCACTTGAGCCACAGCTCTACTTCTGGCTTTTTGGTAGTTAATTGGAGATTAAGTCTCATAGAGCCAAGCACCAGTGGCTCTTACCTGTAATCTTAGCTACTCAGGAGGCTGAGACTGAGGATCATGGTTCAAAGCCAGCTTGGGCAGGGAAGTCCATGAGACTATTATCAGGAAACCAGAATTGGCGCTGTGGCTCAAGTGGTAGAGCACTAGCCTTGAGGTGAAGAGCTCAGGGATAGCACTCAGGCCCTGACAGACTAAAAAAAAGATTTTTCTGCCAGAGCTGGATTTTAACCTTGATCCTCCGATCTCAGCCTCCTAAGTGCATTTTTTTTTTTTTTGTCAGTTGTGGGGCTTAAACTCTGGGTCTGGGCGCTGTCCCTCAGCTCTTCAACTCAAGGCTAGAGCCACAGCACCACTTCCAGCTTTTTCTGCTATGTGGTGCTGAGGAATCAAACCCAGGGCCTCATGCATGCAAGGCAAACACTCTACCACGGAGCCACCTTCCCAGCCCTTAGTGCATTATTATTATTATTATTATTTTGTCAGTCATAGGGCTTGAATTCTGGGCCTGGGCGCTGTCCCTCAGCTCTTTAGCTTAAGGCTAGCGCTCTACCTCTTGAGCCACAGTGCCACTTCCCGTTTTCTGAGTGGTTTATTGGAGATAAGAGACTCACGGAGTTTACTGCCCGGGCTGGCTTTGAACCGTGATCCTCACATCTCAGCCTCCTGAGTAGCTAGAATTAGAGGTATGAGCCACCAACACCCAGCAGTGCATTGATTTTTTATTTTTTTTGGGTCTGGTCGTGGAGCCTGAACTCTGGGGCCTGGGCGCTGTCCCTCAGCTCTTCATCTCAAGAGTAGCACTCTACCACTTGAGCCACAGTACCACTTCTGGCTTTTTTTCCCCTTCTTTTTGCTTATGTGGTGCTAAGGAATCGAACCCAAGGCCTCATGCATGCAAGGCAAACACTCTACCACTGAGCCACCTTCCCAGCCCTAGTGCATTGATTTTTAAAGGTAATTATTTGTTTCCCATGTTGGAGATCAAACCTAGGGCCTCATGCACGTGAGGCAAGAACTCTACCACTGTTATACCTCAGCCCTCTGTGTCTGCCATCTTTGAAATTAGCCATAAGTTGTGGTTCTGCAGCTTGTGTATCGCCTATATCAATTTAACTGTTCACAAGTTCTTCCAGGCCCCAGAGACACTATCCTATGACCTGTGTGCCAGACCCAGTGCATTCAGTTTGTGGTGGAGTAGGAGGTGGCTGAGATCTAGGTCACATGTGTGTGTATTTGTGTATATGTGTGTGTTTGGGCATGTAAGAACTCCCACCCGTTCTTCTGTTGCCTATGGGAAAAGGCACCCGGAGGTCTGGGGTCTGCTCCTGCTCCAGGGTGTTTTCCCATCTGGATCTGGGTGTGGGACCTGGAGTGAAGTAGGCCACTGACTAAAGCCTTTCCTGCTGGGGTTCTCACCTGCCTGGCTGGCTCCACCCCTTGCCCTCCTCCCTCCTCAGTCTCCTGCTGCTGAGGAGTGCAAAACTATGGTTTTGGGTATCTCATTTTGCCAAATTTCAGACTCATGGCTTTGTCTTGATCTTCCTCTGACTTTTAGATGGCAACTCTAAGACACCTGTCTTCCCTCAGCCAGAGGGTGCCCGGTGTTCAGCCGCACTCCCCAGCGAGAGTGGTCCATTCTGCACGAGGCTGAAAGTCTTTGCGTAGTCTCTCCTTTCAGGTGCTCACTGGATCCTGTGTCCAGTGAGTGAGACTTGAACATGGTGGAGAACACTTCCCCACACCGGATTCCTAACTGAGTGGCAAGTGGGGTGGCTTTGGCCTGCATGGGGCGAGGGGGTGCTAAGAATAACAATGTCCTAAGAACAGCAATTTCTGCTGTTCATGAAGGGAAGTCTCTGCTCTGTCTGACCTGTCTCAAGTTCCCCTGGAGGCCAAGTTCATTGTGGGGATTGTTACAGGAAAATAACCTCAAGTATTGTCATAGCAGCTGCAAGCATCCTATAATAATAGCTACTAGCAGGGCTGGGAAGGTGGCTCAGTGGCAGAGCGCTTGCCTTGCATGCATAAGGCCCTGGGTTCAATTCCTCAGCACCACATAAGCAGAAAAAGCCAGAAATGGTGCTGTGGCTCGAGTGGTAGAGTGCTCGCCTTGAGCTGAAGAACTGAGGGACAGCGCCCAGGCCCGGAGTTCAGGCCCCACGACCGGCAAAAAAAAAAATAAAAATAAAAATAACTACTAGAATAGGGCTGGTGGCTCAGAGGTGCCTGTAAATCCTAGCTACTTAGGAGGCCGAGATCTGAGGATTATGGTTTAAAGCCAGCCCAGACAGGAAACCCCAGGAGACTTATCTCCAATTAACCACAAAAGGCTAACTGTGGAACTGTGGCTCAAGTGGTAAAACACCAGCCTTGAGTGAAAAGGCCAAGTGAGAGTGTGAGGTCCTGAGTTCAAGACTCAGTACTGGCACACACAAAAAATAATAGGGCTGGGAAGGTGGCTCAAGGGTAGAGTGCTCGCCTTGCATGCATGAGACCCTGGGTTCTATTCCTCAGCACCACATAACTAGAAAAAGCTGGAAGTGGTGCAAGCACTAGCCTTGAGCTGAAGAGCCGAAGGACAGCGTCCAGACCTAGAGTTCAAGCCCCATGGTCGACAAAGAAAAAAAAAAAAGCTACTGCTGGCTATAAGCTGGACCAGGAGGCTCTCTAAGTGCTTTTTTCCTAGATTAACCTTTAATTCATGCAACTGCATTACAAGTGAGGACACAACGGCACAGAGAGGTTAAGTAATTTACCTAAGGTCACAGAGCCATAAACAGCAGAATGCAGATTCAAGCCCAAAGCAAGTCCTCATCCTTCGCTCTGATACCTGATGTTCTGAGAGGACTCAAGCTCATCCATGGACAATGGGAGCAAGTCCATGAGGATGTCACCTGTGAACACAGCTGAGCCTCCTGAAGGAGACCAGGAGCTGGAGCTCAGGAAGAATGTTCTGAAGGGTGGGACCACTCATTAGAGTGTTCCATGCCACTGGCAGTGGAGCGTCAGGCTAGCTTTTAGAAACTCTGGTCTGAAACAGAGAAAAGAGACAAAAGCAAATGTTCAGGAGAGGCTAGGACGAAAGGAGCATGGGACAGGTCCAAGGAGCCAAACAATGAGATGCCCAAGGGCTGTGGGGAGGCTGTAATGCGAGGAGAGGCAGCCTGGGCAAAAGTTGGGAGGCCAGAGAAGGTCAAGAATAAAGGTGGTATTAAGAGAGGGGCTGGCTGGGTGCTGGTGACTCACGCCTGTAATCCTAGCTCCTCAGGAGGCTGAGATCTGAGGATCACGGTTCGAAGACAGCCCAGGTAGAAAAATCTGTAAGACTCTTATCCCCAATTAATTACCAGAAAACTGGAAGTGGTACTATGGCTCAAGTGGTAGAGCACTAGCTTTGAGTTAAAGAGCTGAGGGACAGCACCCAGGCCAGAGTTCAAGCCCTATGACTGACCAAAAAAAAAAAAAAAAAAGGGAGGGGCTGGGTGCTTGATGCTCAGTGTTTGGAGTTGGTACCGAGAGGAGAGCTGAGTGCTAGAAGCTCAGTGCTTGGAATTGGTGCTGAGGGAGGAGCTAAGTGCTGGATGCTTGGTATTTAGAATTTCTGAGAGAGAAGCTGAGTGCAATGCTCAGTGCTTGGAGTTGGTACTGAGAGAAGAACTGAGTGCTAGCTGCTCAGTTCTTGGAACTGGTACTAAGAAAAGAGCTGGGTACTAGGTGCTTAGTGTTTGGAGTTGGTTCTGAGAGAAGAGTTGGGTGCTGGATGCTTAGTGTTTGGAGTTTCTGAGAGAGGAGCTGAGTGTAATGCTGAGTGCTTGGAGTTAGTTCTGAGCAAGTGCTAGATGCTCAGTGCTTGGGTTGGTACCAAGAGCTGAGTGCTCCATGCTAGGTGCTTGCGGTGTTTGAGAGAAGAACTGAGTGTGCAATGCTTGGTGCTTGGAGTTGGTACTGAGAGAGAGGCTGAGTGCTGGAAGAGAGCCATCAGACTCTAACAACAGGCTCTGAAGCCCAGCAGCGTGTGTCCACTGTGGGTATGTGTTCACATCTCAGCATCTCCTGAGCATTCACCCCAGGATGACCCCTGCTCTGCACCCCAAGCCGCATCGGTTCATTGAATCTTCACATCAGTCTAGGAGGCAGGCCTGGCCGCCCTCACTTGAGGAAACCGAGGCAGCTTGCTGAGGACATACAGCTCTGAGCCCAGGCTGTCTGCACCTAGGGCCTGTGATCAGTCATGGGACACGAGCAGGCCCTGTGGGATTTCCTGAGGGTTCCCTGTCCCCATATGGTATATTTGGGTCCTAGACCCTAGGGGATGACTCTGAGAGCTGCTGACACCTGCCATCTGCCCTCTGCCCTCAGCATCCAGATGATCCACCACTTCACCATTCATGGGAACACGGAGGAGCTGAGGCAGATGGCGGCCAGCCGTGAGGTTCCCCGGCCTCTTTCCACCCTGCCCATGTTCAATGTGCGCACGGGCGAGCGGCTGCCTCCCCGCGTGGACAGTGCCCAGGTGCCCCTCATCCTGGACCAGCACTGATGTCCCTGCCAGGTAGGTCTGTATGGGTGTGCCAGGCTTGTAGCTGGACATGGGCAGTCACCTCCTCAAGGCTGGGGCAGGTGATGGGCTAGAAGGGGAAGGGGCACACAGACCTATCTGCCCTGTGAGAGCACTCAAAAGTCTGGGGCCGGGCGATGGTGCTCACACCCATAATCCTAGCTACTCAGGAGGCTGAGATCTGAGGATTACAGTTCAAAGCCAGCTGGGACACAAAAGTCCACGAGACTCTTAGAACCAATTAACCCCTCCAAAAAAAAAAAAAAAAGGCCAGAAATGGGGCTATGGCTCAAATAGTAGAGCACTAGTCTTGTGCAAAAGAAGCTCAAGGACAGTACCCAGGCCCTGAGTTCAAATCCCAGGACAGGCCCTGAGATCAGGTTCCCACAGGGGAGGGGAAGGAAGACAGGGACAAGAGTATCTAGCTCCCTCAGTCTTTCCTTCCTTCCATCCTTCCAGCCCAGGCCTCTCCCTCCAGACAGCTGCTGATCTGCCAGTCCTGGCCTCTCCTTTCAGACAATACTGACCTGTAGATTCTGGCTTCTGGACCACTTGAACCTCAGACACTGTACAACAGAGGGATAGGGTGGGGAGGAGGGAGGTGATGGTGTTTGGAGTCAAGATCCTGGAATAAACAAATATCTACAGCTCTTCTCTGTACCTTCCTCTCCTAGCAGCCTTCCCAGATCCTCACTGCCTCCATGCCTCCTGCCTTCTGGGAGTCCCCAAAAGGGGTTTCTAGCTTGTCCTTGGGCTCATGGAAATTTGCTGTTTCCTTAGATTCTCTCCCATGAACATGACAACGAGAGATGGCTGGATGATCATTATCTTTTTTGTTATTGCTGGTACTAGGGCTCGAACTTAGGACCTCACACTCTTGTTTGGCCATTTCATACAAGGCTAGCTAGCTCTACCACTTGAGCCACAGTGCCACTTCCAGCTTTTTCTGCTTATGTGGTACTGAGGAATCGAACCCAGGGCCTCATGCATGCAAGGCAAGCGCTCTACCACTGAGCCACCTTCCCAGCCCTCATCTCCGTTTTCTAGGCAAAGAAAGTGAGGTCTCTGGAGAGTAAATGATGGACCTAAGATCACAGAGTAAGCACAGAGCTTGGACTGCAGCCTTGCAGCCTAGCATTGTCTTCCAGATGGCTGAGGCTGAGGGATTATGTGAAGCCCAAGACCCAGGCTCTTCCCTGGAGATTTAATGATACTGCTGAGATTCCTGTACAGGATGAGTCCCTTTACATGCGGTGTTAGGAGAAGACCCACCTAAGATCTGGAAAGAGCTTAGAAGGCAGGACTGAATTCTTGCTCCCCTCCTAGTGGCTCCTTCAGAGACCGGGCAGAGGCCTAGATGCTCTGCCAGCCTAGGCAGCTTGTTGAGATGAATGTCGCCAGTGTGGCCGGGAAAGTGCATCACAGCCAGGAATTGTTTTGCTAGGTGGCTACAACCACAGTTGGCCGGCTCAGCCCTTGCTTGCTGTCATCTGTGTCACATCCAACCTCACATTGTACCTCTTCTGTTTGAGGACAGGCCAGGATGAGCTGGGAGGCAACCCATAAAAGAGGGTAACGGGCTGGGCTCCCATCTGTAATCCTAGCTACTCAGAAGGCTGAGATCTAAGGATCCTGATTCAAAGCCAGCCCGGGCAAGAAAGTCTGTGAGATTCTTATCACCAATTAACTACCAGAAATTTGGAAATGGAGCTGTGGCTCAAAGGGGTAGAGGACTAGTCTGGAGTGAAAAAGCTCAGGGACAGAGCCTAGGCCTGGAGTTCAAACTCCACAACCAACCTTCCCCCCCCTAAATGAGGATGACTGAGGATCAAGGTCACAGGGCCCAGGTAGGGGCCTAGGGAGCAGCTCAAAGAGAATCCAAACAAGGGCCTGTCACCACCTCCCTCAGCTCTTCCCTGCTGGGATCCCACAGTCCCTCAAACCCACAAAACTTCCCCAGTCTCTGCCCTCATAACATGGCTAAGAGAGGCGCTCCTTGACCCCAGGGCCTGCAGGGCCCTTTCACAACCCTCCCTTCTGTCTGACAGAAGCAGCTCTGGAGTTCTTTCTGCCCTAGAGGTGCTGGAGAATAATACTGTTAGAAAGACTGCCATCTGCCTGGGCAAAAGATTGAGCAAGGCCATTGCTCAATTTGTACCACTCACTCTCTCTGGTCCTCCTTTGTTCTGGATGCCCCGTATTTATCAGCTAGTTAGGTAACACATTGGAGCTGGGAGACAGCATTCAGAATTTTAGTTAGATCTGAGGAGCAAGGTTCGAAGCCAGTGTGGGCAGACAAACCCAAGGAACTCTTATTGCTAATTCACCAGCAAAAAGCCAAAAGTAGAGGTGAGGTTCAAGTGGTAGAGCACCAACCTTGCCCCCTCAAAAAAGCTCAGAGATGGTGCCCAAGTCTTGAGTTCAATTCCAGTACCAGAACACACACACACACACACACACACACACACACACACACACACACACTGCATAGAGTATGTGCTCAATGAACAAGTGTTGAACAGATGTTTCTTTTACTGAACTGGCTCTCTGACATCTCATTCACGGAGCCATCCTTTTTCCTGGGGCCAATCATCTGACCGGAAGCACAGAAAGCCTGGGAACTTCATAGCAGCCGCTTACATCAGAAGCACTGAGTAGACAGCTTGCTGCCTGGCTGGGTCCCCTCAGTCTGCCTCCCACCTTGAAATGTGTGTGTGTGTGTGTGTGCACACACGCACATGCACTCTCTCTCTCTTCCCTGCCCCTCTCCTGAAGTCCAGACAGACCTCATATCCTCCTGTAGGCTTTTCCTGAGTTGGCCTGTGTTGGGAGAATTGGAAGCAAGCTCCTCCCTCTCTCTGCTTCCCAGCCTTGCCCAGGGGTCTTGGCAGAGCCTTCCTCTCCGCCCAGCTCCCAGGAGCACATGGAGCCTGGCCTGGCCGCCTGCCTGAAAGGAAGTGGCCCAGACAAGTAGCCGAGAGGATGGCGTGACTGCCGAGAACACCATGCCATGCCTGGGCACACGCGCTCCAACGCCCAGCTGCCCAGCAGTGTGCAGCCAAGGACACAGACACAGACACCATGCCTCCCCCAGGAGTGCAAGATTCCAACCTGCAGCCACACCCTGTCCCCACAGCCCTTGACAAAGGGTAGCACTCACTCCACCTGAGACTCAACCCACGCTCATTCCACTCATCCCCTGCAGTCCCACGGAAGACTCTGCCCATGTGTCTGGATGCCCGGGCTCCACCTAAACACAGCTCCCACACATGGCCTGACACCTTCTTCTTTGTCTTCTTTTTTTGTTTTTATTTGGTCGGTGGTGGGGCTTGAACTCTGGGCCTGGGTGCTCTCCCTCAGCATTTCAGCTCAAGGTGAGTGCTCTATCATTTGAACCACAGAGCCACTTCCCGTTTTCTGGTGGTTTATTGGAGATAAGAGTCTCACAGACTTTCCTGCCCGGGTTGGCTTTGAACTGTGATCCTCTGATCTCAGCCTCCTGAGTAGCTAGGATTACAGGCATGAGCCACCAGTGCCTGGCTTCTGGCTTCTTTTTTGTGCCAGTACTGGGACTTGAACTCAGGGGATTGAGTTTTTGCTTAGCTTTTTTTTCTTCTTCTTTCTTTCTCAAGGCTGGCACTCTACCATTTCAGCTACACTTCTACTTCTGGCTTTTTTACTTCTGGGGTGGCTTTGGACATCAATTGTCAGACCTCAGCCTCCTGAGTAGCAAGGATTACAGGTATGAGTCACCAGCGTCTGGCTCCAGACACTTTTTTTTTTTTAAACTACCTTTGATTGGTCAGATCTAAGGACAGAGGGTCTACTTCCAGCAAGGCCACAGTCTCCAGAGGCTCACACTTCCCCAGGCAGGTCCTGAGCCGTGATTCTGCCTCATCACAGCTACTGAGAATTAGTTTCGTGTGCTTATAAAATGCTTGGCCCTTGCTGGGCACTGGTGGCTCACTCCTGTAATTCTAGCTACTTAGGAGGCTCAGACTGAGGACCCAGGTTGAAGTCTGTGAGATTTTTTTTTTTGGGTCCAGTCGTGGGGCCTGAGCTCTGGGCCTCGATGCTGTCCCTCAGCTCTTCAGCTCAAGGCTAGCGCTCTACCACTTGAGCCACAGCGCCACTTCCGACTTTTTGCTTATGTGGTGCTGAGGAATCGAACCCAGGGCCTCATGCATGCAAGGCAAGCACTCTACCACTGAGCCACCTTCCCAGCCCGAGATTCTTATCTCTAATTAACTACCAGAAAACTGGAAGCAATGCTGTGGCTCAAAGTGATGGAATGCTAGCCTTAAACAAAAGCGCTCAGGGACAGCACCCAGGTCCTGAGTTCAAGCCCCATGACTGACCAAGACAAAATAAAAAAAAAGGCTCATCCCTGCCTTGGGACAGCGTTGAGAACTCTTGAGCACTGGCGTACTGTTACCTTCCAGGAATTAGACACTGTCATACACAAGCATTCACAGGTTCTCCACAAGAACAGAGGTCCATGGGGGTCTCTGCCCCTGAGATCTACACCAGATAGGCTTCATTTTCATCAATGGCTTGGAGAAGTTTGTCTTTATCCTGTGTGAATTTAAGGTGTATGTTCTTTGGCACAGTTCTGCTCTTGGCCATGTGTGGCTACTAAGCACCTGAAGTATGCTTAGTCTAAATTGAGATGTGCTGTAAATGTAAAGATAAAATGGTATTAGGAGCCAGGCACTGGTGGCTCACACCTGTAACCCTAGCTACTCAGGTGGCTGACATCTGACACTCACGCAGGAAAGTCTGTGAGATTCTTACCTCCAATTAACCACTGAAAAGCCCTGGCTTAAGGTGGTACAGCACCACCTTAAGTAAAAAAGCTAAGGGATAGTGTCCAGGCCCTAAGTTCAAGCCCCAGTACTGATACAAAAATAAAATAAGCTGGGTGTTAGTGGCTCATGCCTGTAAATCCTCGTTACTCAGGAGACTGAGATCTGAAGGTCATGGTTTGAAGCCAACTTGAGCAGAAAAATCCATAAGATTCTTATCTCCAATTAATCACCGAATAGCTGGATGTGTAGCTGTGATCCAAGGTGGGAGAGCTCCATCTTGAGTGAAAAAGCAAAGGGAAAGCATCCAGGCCCTGAGTTCAAGCCCCAGGACACTCTCTCTGTCTCTCTGTCTCTTTCTCACTCTTCCTTTTTCTCTCTCACACACAGAGGGACAATAAAATATTCTGTGTGGTTCTCTCTTCCCTAGCAGTTAGAAATACAAGTTGCATATGTGTTTACCCTGTATTTTTTATGAGGCAGAGCTGATTTCATGGGTCTTTTTTGTCGTTGTTGTTGGTCGTGGGGCTTGAACTCTGGGCCTGGGCACTGTCCCTCAGCTCTTCGGCTTAAGAGTAATGCTCTACTGCTTGAGCCACAGTGCCACTTCTGGCTTTTTCTGCTTATGTGGTGCTGAGGAATCGAACCCAGGGCCTCATGCATGCGAGGTAAGCACTTTACCACTGAGCCACCTTCCCAGCCCTTCATGGGTCTTCACCTTTACTCTAGAGCACTCAGTACTAGAAATCAGCCCTTTCCTTGCTTTCTGCAGAACACTTGCTCATGTTGACCCCTTGTTTGCTTTCAAGAAGCCCTGA